TGGTTCCCTTTCGCTCCTTGTAAACAAGGAAAAGGAGGCTGCCGTGTCCCAGTTTAGCTGGTTCACTTCCCAGCTCCCAGGAGGAGCAGGGTGGAAAGGAAATAAACTGAGGAGGGACACAGGCATGGATGTGTGGGCAAGATCCACGTGGGATGTGCATCTGCCTCCTCTCACACTTGGAAAGTTTGTGCCTAGAGGTGTCTAGAGGTGCTCTGCTCCCCCAGTCCCTCCTGGTCCCTCCTGCATCCCAGGCAGGGTGAGGAGCTGGTGTCCTCACTCATCTCTTCTCCACCCTCGCAGTTCCCGAGGGGCTGGGAAGCCCGGGTGCTGCTCCTGGGAAGTCCCTTGCTAGTGGTGCCTGCTCTGCAGCCAAGCCCTTCCCGGTGGGAGGGGATTATCCAGCGATGCTGCAGTTCTGCGTGAGGCTGAGGGCACCTCCTCCGTGTCCAGGATGTCACAGGATGCCCAGGAAGGGATGGAGCCCCCTGCCTGCAGCTCAGCCCGCTCTGCTCCTTCTTTTGCTCTTCTCAGAGCAGAAGATGCTCCTGTGCTGGTCGCCTCCCCCTGCAGGATGAAGGTCCAGAGGCACAACAACATCCTCCTTCCCTGGAATGGCCATGGTCCTCCATCTCCCCAGCACATCCCCAGAGTCAAGCAAGACCCAGGGGTCCCAGAAGGGAAGAGGTGAGGAAGGGAGTCCTCAGAAGACAGAGAAGCCCCAAGAGATCTGTTGGAAGTCCTCAAGGAACACATTTAGGTGATCCTTAGCAAGACACCAGCCAGGGCAGGTGGAAAACAGGCAGAGAAGCCACCTGGCCCAACATCAGCCTCCTTCAGCTTGCCTGGATGATCAAGCAGCCTCAAGACACTGGGTGATGGCACAGCAGCTTCATATCCACATCCAGAGAGGCTCAGATGGCAGCACCCATCACTGCCTTCCCTGTGTCCTCACACTGCTGTGGAGGACAGAGCACCATGGACCTCCAAGGTGAGCAGCCTGGAGACAAGCCCACAGAAGTGCCCTTGGCCCTGCCTCCCTCACCCCTCTGTGCTTGGCAGCCAAGAGCTGCCCATGGCCAATGCATCAGGATACACCCCCAACATCCACACCAATTCCCAGGAGCACCAAGGGCCCCAAGGAGCCAGAGGAATGCTGCATCCCAGAAAAATCCAAGAGCTGTTGGAAAGCCCAGCAGGGAAAGGTCCATGGAAGGAGCAGAGAGCTGCTCAAGGACAAAGCTGCTTGTCTGGGAACAGGCTTGGAGATTTGCTCCTTGCCTGGATACTTCAAAGGGCTTAAATCACAGTAAATAAGCAGGACTGTGCTAAAAGAAACCAAGGGGAATGAAAGAGCCAACTGTGTTTTGGAGCAGTAGCCTGTCCTGGGAGCCTTCCTACAGCCCAGGGTGTGAGGAAGAAGTGGGGTTTTTCATCTTCCACCACAGCCTGAGCACCAAAGCCTCCTGAAGCTGAGCCAGCTGGAGACAGCAGAGAGCACCATGGAGAAGGGAAATCAGCTTCCAGATGAGGTTGCTTGTGCTGTGCCCACAGAGCTCATAAAACAGGATTAGCATGTTAACCACGTAATTAAACATGAAAAACTTAGCAGGCATCTTCAAAGGCAGGCAACAAAACCCAGAGGTCACACCACAGCACTTGCTGTGCATCTGATTTAATTGGGGGGGGCTCCTCCCAGGCACCAAATCTCTCCCTGCAGCTGGATTAGTCTTTTCACAAACTGCCAGGGCTTCATTTCACCTCCTCGTGCTGTGGCCACAAGTGGATGTTGCCCCAATTCCACCTGCCACAGAGCTCCTCAGGCCAGTCAGGATGGGACAACAGTTTCAAGCACAGCCAGCCTGTCCCAGAGACATCCAACACCACATCCCAAAGTGTCCTGGACCTGCAGGGTCACCCCTTGATTTAGCTGTGTCCTCCCTCATCCCTAAGGAACACACAAGAGGAGCCCATCTTGGCAACATCTACAGCCTCCCTGAGAGGCACAAACCCCTGGGTGTGATTTATGGCACTGCCTGCAGCCCTGGAATGGCTCAAGAATGGCACAAACCTGTGCTGATTGCTTCTGGGTACTGGCCAGGGAGAAGTCTGCAGCTAAAGTATCCTCCTGCCTCTGCTCCAGAGGTGCTGGGAAGTGGCTCCAAGGCTGTACATGCCCCCTATGCAGGTAGGGCTGGGCAAGTCCCAAGAGGAACCTTCAACAAAAGCTTTTTCCAAAGGTGCTTCCCACCAGCTTTACCACCTGCCTCTGCCAGCCCTTAGCACTCACTAAGCCCTGGGGGTGGGCAAGAACCACAGCTGAGGAAAGAGCAAAAAACCAAAACCTTTCCCAAACTCATCCTCCCAAAGGAGGGAATCACAGGGACAGCCCGTGGATCAGGGGCAAATCCTTGGAGGAAAGCAGGCTCTGGGAAGCTGAGATGTGGCAGGAACAGAGCAGGAGTCACCAGCATGCTGAAGGAAGTAGGGAACAGGGGTCAAGAGCACGTTGGATAGGGCTTGGAGCAACTTGGTCTAGTGAAAGGTGTCCCTGACCATGGAAAGGGGTGGGAACCAGGTGATCTTCAAAGCCCCTTCCCACCCAAACCCTTCCGTGTGATGGTGACAGGCAGAGGCAGGAATGAGAGTGGCTTTGCCAGCTGGTGTCCCCAGTGTGATGGTGACCAACAAAATGGTTTCCCTGGACCACATCCCCAGCTGCAGCCTTGCCCAGGAGCTCCTCACCCCTCTGCTGCACGTCCCCCTGACCCTCCTCCCCCAGACAGAGGCTGACAAGGTGCCCCCTGTGCCAGGGTGAGCTGGTTTAGCTGCCCTGACAGCTTTGGCAGCAAGGATCTGATGGGGTTTGTTTGCTTGTTTGTTTTTTTAAATCCTGAATTCCCTTCTGCAGCAAACAAAGAGGGAAGGTCCCACTTTCCTTCATGAAAGGAATCTTCAAAGGCCACTCTGCACCTCCAGCAGCTCCCCAGCCACTGGCAGCGCAGCACAATGAAAACCCACCAGGCGTGTTTCATTATTTAAGCCACCCGTGTTGCCAACTCAACTTCTGCCAAGGAAGATGCTTCCCAGCACGGAGGCTCAGGTACAGAAAGGAAGGCAGAGAGGCTGTGAAGAGCCTGGTGTCACTGGCACCACACCCTGCTGTGTGAGGAGCCTTGCAAGGGTGGCAGCAACGGAGCACGGGGCAGGCAAGCTCATGCACGGGTTAGTATCCCAGCCAGTGATCCCATCACCCCAGGCAGAGTACCTTGGAATAACCTACTTGGAAGTCTCAAATGCAGATAGGTCTTCTGCCCTGGGCTTGAGGCTAAACCAGCAAAATAAAATGAACAAAAAAATAATCCTCTGTCATGCGAGTTCACGGCAGGTCAGGGTGCAAACTGTGTCCCCAGTGCTGGGTCAGCAGCTCCCAGGTGGGGCAGAGGGTTGGGATCACTGGAGTGTTGCTCAACTGCTATCCCATTTCCAGTGCCTTGCCTTTTCCTTTCCATCCCAACTGCCAAGGTAAAAGCCCTCCTGACCTCCTGGTGGCAGGGACAAGAGCAGCCTGGGGGTTTGCACTGACGTGCTCCACTCCCAGACCTTTGAAAACCCTTTGCAGGAGCAGCCTCAGGCCCCCCCTGAAGGGAGGGGACACCCCAAGACTCCAGCTTCAAAGGAAGGGAGCCTGATCACTCCCATCCCAGTCACAGCCATGAGCCCTGATAGACACCACCAGCTGCCTTCTTTAAGTGAGACAAACAGCACCATCAGCTCTCTGTGAACTTGTCTCTGTCAGAAGAGCAAATGTAGCGTTTTCCCTTTAAACCAAGGACCTTGAGCACAGAGACAAAACCTAGCAAAACCCACTGGGAGCTAAAATGTCTTTGGATTCTACAGTCACAACAGGGTCTGTAAAGATTTTACACTCTGGAGGGACAGGACCCGAATAGCTCAGGATCAGCAGGGGGGAACTCGGAAGTGAGACCCACTAGATGGATCACCCTGCCCCAATTCCAGGCTGATTAACTCCCAGCCATGAAAATCAGCATGAACAGGTATTTTCAAATCCTTTCAGACATAACTCTCAGCAGGGAGTAAGTAAGGAGCTAAGGATTTGTTTTTAAAACCCTGGAGTTGTTACCAGGACCTGCATCCTGTGCCATGCAGGTTCCTGGATCCCTCCCAAGGAGAGCTGCCAGCAGAAAGTCAGCAGGGGAAAAGCCTTGGCAGAGCAAAAGCCTTGGCAGATGAGTGGGGCTCACCATGACATCCCACTGCACTGAGGGTAGAAGCACCCCCAGACCCTCCTCACACTGAGCTACTCAGCAAAAGGATGTAAAAATAAAGAGTGGGTTTTGCTGTGACCCCAGGTGTGTCCCCATGCCAGCTGACCCAGCCACCCCAACATTTTGGCAAAGTTATCCATCTCAACCACATTTTTAGAGGCAGGTGGTTCCAGGGGCCAAGAGCACAGGGAGCAGAGACCTCACACCCCCCCCTGCTAGTGAAAGATTTTGCTGTTAGTACTTGAAGATGCACTAGAGGTAACTGGAGAACAGATTAAAAGAGAGAATGAAGGTTTTGGCTTTTTCTACTGAGAGCCAGTAAGTCAGGAGCAGTTTTGCCACCAGCCAAGCCCAAGGCTGCTGCCTTGCCTGTAGGGAATGGTTGCAATAGGCAGGGCTTTTCCTGCTCCTGGGCTCACTAGGGTCAGGAATG